TATTATTGAAAATGCTAGTTGCAATAACAAACAACTTTGGCTTTTGTCTCAGGATATGAGCAAAGCATATGACTCTGTAAACTTCGATCTTTTTACTAAGTTCCTCAAACATATATCAATGCTCTAACTTCTTATTAATACACTTATAATCTTCTTACTAATTACCAAAACCATGTTATATTCAACCTTGGACTTACTAATCTTTATTTAGTTAAAAATAGTATAAACCAAAGAAAAACTATAACTCCTGTATTTTGAAGAATCTACTATGACTTCTTAATCAATAAAATAGCATCACAATTTTCAGAATATCCTTTGTCTACATCCTGAAAAACCAACTTACACTCACCTCAAACTTAATGCTTAAAAACATCTGTATCAGTTCTAGCCTATATGGATGACACTCTTTGGATTGCAAAATCCAAAGATGAACTTAATTTAATAACCAAAACTGCTACTTCCTTCTACTACATAGCTAATATTCAAATTAATCTAACTAAGTCTATTTTAGCTACAAATTCTTTTACCTTCTTTTTGTGATTCTCTGAATTACAAATTTACTCTATTTCTAAAAACCAACCATTCAAGTTTCTTGAATATTGGTTTACACTCAACAACAAACACTCTCAAACCATCAAACTGATAAAAAAAAAGGCCTTTAGCCTTATTAACATAGCCAATACAAAGAAAATTACTAACAAACAAATTGGTTATATTATCAACACAGTTATTATTCTAACTTTAGAATACAAACTTTATAACATAATCCTTTCTTGTACTGTATGCAACCAAATCTTATCTAAATACCTTATTGTAGCTAAACACAAATCTTATCTTTCTAGATCTATACTAAATAGTACAATGCTTAATCCATTCCTATACAATATACATAATATCTGAGATATCCAACTTCAACACCATATCTCTAACTATCTCTAATGAATTAACAATCCTGATCTTCTTGGTATTACAACTTGAATTAGACTCCAATAGTTACAAAACAACCTATAGTCCTCTACTAGTATACTACATCACCCCAAACCTACTATAGATAGTCCTAACAGACATTCATTAAATTTTAAAATTACTCAACTTTTTTCTTATTTTGGGTTAACCATCTTAATTAATCCCAACTTGATTTGGCCTTACATAATTAATAATGATAGCCAATCACTAGAGTTTATTCTATCACAGCATTTAAAATATTTAACCTTTAAAAAGCAACTTAGACAATCAAATATTATGTATCTTGAACAACTCTGCATTGCAGATAACAGCACTTTACTTGACTGGAAACATCTCTTACCAAGATTATTATACTTATCTAAAGGCAAAAAACCTTTTTAGTTCTCTTACTTAGAAGATACAATCTTAGCACACTCTTATTACTAAAATATTTTACTATATTACCAATCATCAGACTACAACCCTTATGCTTATCATATTATTAATACATTTAAAAAACTTATTAAATCTAAACTCTGATTACTCTTATACTACAATGATGAAATTATTATTGAAAAAATATAAAAATATTTTTTACCTTCTAACCACTACTCTATTACTCACTGAACTTCTAATATAGACTTAAACTACACAAGATTTTACCCTTTACCCCCTGCTAGCTACAAACAATATACAGAATACTATCTTAATTCTTATAGAATTAACTAAACTTATACTATTGAGGTTTTTGCAATTATTTTTGCACAATTTCTTGGCAGAACTAACTCAAAGCACTAACTTAAACTCAATGCCAATTACTTGAACCTTATTTGCTCTACAGCTGTTAAACATCTAACTCACATTCCCCTTCATCTAACATCTCTATTATTAACTCTATCATCTCTGAAATCTTTATTCCAAATGAATCTACTAACAAACTCATGTCTATTTCATATCACAATCTCTCTTACTAGCAACTATCTTTCTATACTGATGGATTCGTAATTGATATTGATACTAACCAATGCACAATAGGTATTGGTTGAATCCAAATTAATAATAATAATCAAATTATTAATTCCTTCTCTGCTAAAATTAAATTCTGGCCTTTATCTTACAAAGCAGAACTCTTTTCAATCATTATTGCAATCTCAACTGCTTTTCAAAACTGTATTATTAATATCTTTACAAACTCTCAATTAGTAATCTCTAAATTTAATAATCTTCAATTAAGTCAATTCATCCTAACAAGTTATTTAAATTTAATTCATAGCCAATTGGGCATACTCATCTAAACATTATTAAATTATACAAATTACAAATTATCTTTTACAAAGTATAGGCTCATTCAGATAACTATCTCAATGAGCAAGCAAACTCTCTTGCTAAACAACACCCACTGTCACTACTTCTTTTATTTAACTACACAAATCTTTACAACCCTTATCATATTTTCTAATAGAAACACTATTATGTAAAACTTTCTACAAGGCACTTTATTAAACAAATCTGTAAAGCTTACATCTTAGCTATATAGGCATCACAAAAATAAAACATCGAGTGGTCATACTTCAACCAAGACATTGATTAAAGATCCACTTGGCTTTACTTCAATCACAATCAAAAACCCTTATACAATATTACCAACTTTAGACTTAATTAGCTAAAATCTTTTAAAACAAAATTCTTTTTAATAAGCTGCCAACATACTTATTATATTATACTATTTATCTAAGCCAATATTTAGACACTGCTTGCTTCTTTTGTAACTTACTTAATTCCTATTTTCACTAGTATACTTGTGCTAATCCATCTTTACTCAATCAAATTATCCAAACCTCTACTAACCAAATTATCTTTAATAATTTGCCTGATCTTGACACCTACTATAAACATAACTTAATTAACAAAATTTTTTATCATCTAGCCCTTAACGCTTTATATACATTACCTAATACTTATTATCCCAATCTTATTCTCAAAAGACTTATCCCAAAGTCTCTTATATCAATAATTCAAAACTCTAACATTTCATACAAAATAGTCTCTTAAGTTATTATTAATATTCTTTGTAATATTAATTAACAATCATATAAGCAACTATGAAAAACATATTATATTCACTTCTTCAATTGAAAAAATCAACAAAACAAACCCTAATTTCAACTAATTAACCAATCTTCAAGATCATTCAATTGAATTAGAAAACATACTCGCTCTTGAAGAGATTACACTTACTCATATCTTTGTGAACTTCCTGATCAATTATATTCTTACTCAAATACATGCCCTCTTACTGGACAAGCAATTTACAAAATTAATATTTAGTTTATCTTATAGATCAAATATAGCATATTATCAAATTATATATTAAACATTCAAATCTAGATAAGCTTTGACCACTCTAGTAGGTAAGCTTTGACTAGTCTAGTAAGTTTAGGTTACAAATAAACTAGTCTGAGCTTTTATTCTTGCATGTAATTTTTAATTTATTTGTTTTGTACAAATAGTAGTAACTATATAGTTAGCAGTTTAATAGTTAGCTCTGACTGCAAGTATTGGCCTCGGCTATAGTATATATATATATAACTATTTTAAATTATTAATAAAGATAAACAAGGCCTCATCTTAATATCAAAAAAAAAAAAATTATATAATTAAATGATTATAAAATTTTAAATTATAACTTATATATTCATTGTTAATTTCTGTCTGTTAAAAATGCTGATTCAGGTCACAACTGTCTCAAGAAATGAAAAGGCAAATTATTTGAATGTTTATTATTGTTTTGGTTTTGTAAAGGCAGCAAGACAATTTGCAGTCCTATTTCCAACCTTTTCAGTAATTGTGTTATAAGATAATAAAGCCAAGGTTCTTCTTGGCATTCCTGTAATTAGAAAAAGTTTTAAAGTCATACAAAGTAACAATGAGCCAGTTACCATTTTAGACCATAAGTTTTTTGCTAGTTTATAACAGAAACTTATTACATTTCTTTATTTAATTATTGATCTAAATAATACAAATGACATACTTTATAGAGGCCAAATGTCAATATACATCCATTTACAATATGAGATGAGAACAAGCTTGATAACCCATATAAATGATTTATATTCTTTAATGAATAATGACAGTTTCAGCAATATATTAAGAGTTGATAATAAATCAGACCTATATGTATCTTTCTTGTAGATGAAGGTCCTGACAAAAATCCTCATTATCTAAAAAATATCTCTCACTATTATAACACTTTTTATTCTTTTGACCTTGATTATTTGACTGTTAGAACTTATACTTCAGGTTAGTGATCTAAAATTACTAATCAAATTTGCCAAAATTGTAATTTTACCTAAAATATTAGTTAGTTGAATTGTAATATTAATCAATTAAAAAATTTAACCAATAAATAACAACTAAATATTAGTTTATTCTATTAATTACTCTAAATTACTCAGCATACAACCTTGTTAAAAGAAGTATAGTGTCTCTTTCAACAAAACTAGCAGGCATAGTTCTGCTTGTTGACAAATATGGCATTCACTTTAACTTACAAAGTAAAGTTATAAACCAGAAGCTAGCAAAAAAAAATTTTAAATATGTGGGCAATCTTCTCTGCAACCTGTAGAAGTGGGACAAAATATTTGAAAAGCCAATTATAGCTAAATATATTGATATAATAAATACTCTGATTTCAGATATTATATCTTGAAAATGAATAGAGATTTATATAAGGATTTGCAGATACTCTTTAGATATAAAAAAATGTAATAATATCAAATATTGCTCTTCTAAAAAATGTAAGAAAGCTGCTAACCTTCTTGTAGCATATAATAGTTTCCTTCTTCCTTTAGTAATAAAGAAAGATAGTTATTATATTAATTCAATACATCTATTAGAATATCTTAACAAGAAAAAAATACTAAAATACAACTAACATTGCCTCTTCATAACTGATAATTATATAAAACACACCTGTCCTATTTGTAAAAAATATTTTTCAACAATCTCGATAATTGCTAATCACAAAATAACCAATATTTGAAAAAAGCCTATAGACCTGAAAGGCCAAAAAAAAATAAAACAATGGCAAAAAAAGCCTATTTAATTAAACATAGACCTGGAAGGCTAAAAAAAGATAAAACAATAGCAAAAGAAACCCTTCTAATTAAACATGGACCTGGAAGACCAAAAAATACTGAAACAATAACAAAAAATCAAAAAATCAAATAAAATTTTTCATTTATTATTTGAAAAAAAAACTTGTAATTCTTATTAGATAAAGAATTACAAATTTTCTCTTTACAGTACTTATTTATTTAATAAATTTCTGATATAAATATTCTGAAATAAAGATTAATTTTAATAAAGAATCATAGCAAAACTTTTAAAAAAAGCTCTTATAGTTTTATTATTATATTCTATCTAAGGTCTTTTATCAAATCTTGACTAAATAGTATACATTTATTAAAAAAGTCTTATTTTAATTTAGTCTTGTGATTCAGTAATAAGTTAATTTTCAATATTGCTATCAATAGTAAAATGCATACGATCCAAAGATTTCAAGATCTATATATGCATTATAATTTAAAAATAGTTAATTGTTAAATTTTAATATTGATATCTTTTTTTAACTGCTAAAGTTTTACAATTAGAGAAATAATATTTATATATTAGTTTTGTGTAACATTACATATAACAAAACTAATATACAAAAAACATTTCTCTTACAATTTTCATAATCTTATATTTGCTGGCTATTATCAACTGTCTGCATACTATATCAATAAATTTGAAATTTTATTACTTCTGAATTCAGTTTTAATAGAAGTATGAATCTCTTGGTAAATGCTATAGTATCTGAAGACTAAGAAACTCTATTAAATATAATTCTATAATGTGATTAGTAATATTATAGTAATTTTTTATTCTACCAATTAAATTCATATACATACCTAATAATCTGCTAAGCTTCTGCTAAAAGACAAAACTTATAAATAATAAATAGTCTTATAGTACTTAGTAGACTCTGGTCAGAAATTGATATCAAATGACTACAATTTGATTTTTGCCTTCAAGATCTGCAATTTATATTACAAAAATAATTCTATTCTGGTTGGCTTGAATTAATTTAACATTATTAGTAACAAGTAACTAATTTTTGGCTAGTTTCTACTACATTTCTAGAGCTGCTATAATATAAACTTAGAAGGAAATTAATTATTAATTATAACAGATTAGAATAAAATATGTATTGTAAAAAAAATAAACAAGTTATCAAAAAATAAATTTTTTTGAAGTGCATTTTTTAGAGTTAAATGTTATAATTAGTAGTTAAATTTAGAGTAGATTTTATAATAAACAAGTATAACAGGTTTTTAGATAGATTGTTATAATATTTTTGTGAGAAAAATACCCATCAAAACTGTTAATTATTGCACCATTATTACATATTTTATGATTATTAAAAACCATAAATTACTGGTCATTATGATATTATAATCTTGCATGAAAAAAAACTATTGACTATAAGTTATTGCACTATATAGAGCCATTATGGCATCATAATTTTGTATAAAAAAAAAACTGTTAAACATAGATTACTATGCCATATAGAGCCATTATGATATCATAATCTTGCAAGAAAAAAAACTGTTAACTATAGGTTACTGTACCACACAGAACCATTATGACATCATTTGTAAGAAGGTTTTTAGAAGGTTCCAAATATCCAGATCTAAAAGAGAACTATAATTATATAATAAGTGATAATTTTCTAATGATTCTGCAATTAAGCTTGCAAAAACTTGTTTATATTTTAATTGTTTCTTGGCAATTTTAGATATTTTAAAGATTTGTGAAATATTTCAAAAATTTTGAAAATATTTTAAAGTGTATTAAAAATATAAAAAATAAAAAATAAAAATATAATAAAAGAAATAAGAAAAGTATAAAAAAATAAAAAAATAAATAAATAAAAAAATAATAATAAATATGTCAGATATAGAAAAAAAATGAAGTTATTATTGTAAAATATATGTGAATATTTGTGAATTTAAATAGAATATTTTAACAAATAATAAATATTTGTAAAATTTGATATATATTGAATTTTATAAGTAAAGAAATATTAGAAAAAGAAAATATAGAATTGCAAAAGAAATTTTCTTTCTATTTATATTTTATATATTATAATCACATCAAAGCAATTTTAATATTCTTAAATTATCATAAATTAATATGCATACTTTGCAGAAAATTTCAATTTTTTTAAATATATTTACAATATAATTAATATATAGTAAAAATATAATTAAAATAT